AATATAATTGTGCAAAGTTTTATTTAAATATTTTAGCATTTTAAAAAAGTAAATCAGAGCTAAAAAAGTACAAAAATATAGGCAAATTTGCCTGTGTTGGTCTACATATTAAAGGATATATATTGTTGAAGATAAGAAATTGAAGGAGTTTAAATTTATTAAAGGAAGAGAGTGTTGATTCTGTAGTAGCATTGAAGTTACCAAGAACAATAGAAAGCAGATTAGAGGAGGTTGTTTGTTGAATTTATTAATTCGTGATTCACGAGTAATCGAAAGATCTGCAATAGTAAATAATTAGTGATTATCAGGGATATTTCAATATAAAAATTTTTTACTTACTAAGAATCTTAAACCAATCTTAGTTTATTATATCAAAGTGTCCTAAATTTGAAATAGGACTTGTATCTTTTGGTCAAATAGTGTCTCAGTTACACTATAGTATTTATTTTTATTATTGGTAGACTATTAGAGAAGATTATAGCAATGAAGAAATATTATTATTTCCAATTTGTGTTGGTTAGCAAACCATTTTTACACAAAACAACAAAAAGTTTTATATGCATATTACTAAAGGAAATAAATATGATGAAAAACAACCAGGTTTTAGATATCATTTGAGTAGTAAATTTAGCAATATTAAAGAGACCTTGAGTGTAGCAATTACTAGCTTGTATAATCGACTTTTTTCAAACTCAAATACCAAATTTTCTAGACTATATGTTTTAGGTTGGGACAATAAGGATTTATTAAATGCTTCTCTTACTGAAATAGAGTTTTGACTATTTGTATTTAAAGTAGATAAATATCTAATTCAAGTAATTAATATAGGAGTTAAAAATAATTCAAACTTAATAGGTACTGGTATTAGATATACATCATCATTTATAGAAGAATATAAAAAGAAACAGGCTTTATTTGTCCAAACAGTTGAATCAAATTATTCATGCCAAGTTGCTATATATAAATTTAGTCAAGACTCAGTAATATTTCTAGATACAAATCTGAACAATAAATGGGAAAAAGTAGGACTTTTTAAAAAATTTTGTGGAACTCAACTTTTTGGATTAGAAAATTTGCTAACATAAAAAAAAATTGCTGCTCAAAAAATTCCTAAATGTACACCAATTTTGTGGACCAATGAATTAATTATAAATAATATTTTCAATTATCATTTGAAAAAACAGACTATAGCAAATATAAACTAGCAACAATTATTTCAAACCTGACTCAATTAACCAAGTACTATAATCAAATTAAAAAGGATATTACAACAATTATATCCATATAATCATACTTTTAATAAAAGAGAGCTGCGTACATAGCACGCAATGCTAAAAGCAACAGGATGTGTCGAAATAACACCATATTTTAAAAATCAATCAGAGGTAAAATATTTATTTTAGTATTTATAATATTATTAGTAAATCGATTTTACTATTTTTGAAACTAAATTTTACCTTAATTTTAGTATAAATTTTGGTCGCAAAGTCCTGATTCCTTAATCGACTAAAGTATTTTAGAACTTTTATATAAAAATGACTTTTTATATAATTCCTATGAATGTATTTAATTCAAGTAATCAATTTTGGAAGTGCTTTCAAAATGTGCTAGAAAAAAATAAAAAAGAGCAAAAAATATGAGTTTTGTCAATAATTGCTAATGAATTTAGTCATAAAGAACTTCAAAAAAATCTTAATGCAAGTATTAAAAATCTATTTTTGCAAATAATAAGATATATATGTTATGTCTCAGATATATCCTTGTATTAAATAATATCTGAGTGTTAATCTGAGGCACAATATATCTATGCATATATAAACATATATATACTTATCTTTATTATATATTGTATTTTGTAGATATCCTCTCAAACAATAACCAAAGCTAGAGCTTATTGCAATACTAATGGACCTGGGTGTAAAATGTTACAAAGACCAATAATTACACAGGTTAGAATTACTTCAGAAATAGAACAGCAATTTGAAAGATTTTTTGCAAACAAAAATATTATAAATATAAGCTTATATAAAGTTAATCCAAAAACTAGCCAACCTCTTAAATATCTGAAAGACTACAAAGCAACCTTGTAGCAAAAATATTTTGAGTTATATCTGACTGAAATGAAACAGACAACTTTTATGACACACTTACGAGATGATTTATATATATATCATAATAATTTAGGTGGTTTATACTATACTTGTAATGAATATGGCTATAGTGTTTTTGAAGAGTTAAAGAAATTAATTAAAAACAAGATAGAAAATCAAAATAGTCAGGTAGACAAATAATTTGATAAATGATAAAAACTTATCTAAATATGGCTAACTATATACTATTAGAATCAACTAGTTAATCAACTTGATTTTTTACATTGATATTTAAAACATAATTATGAAAAAGAACTTCGAGTTGATTGTCTTGGCTATACATATTATACAGAAACTTTGAAACATTGTCTTCTCTATGTGTTTAGTCAATATTCAAAGCAGCATATTTCAAATTGTGAAAATTGTAATAAAATATCTAAATTGTTTGGTAAATTAATTAAAAAAGTTCTACAGAATATTGAACTTATAATCAAAAATAGAAAAAAGCTTTAATATTATATATCATATCAGGCACGCAAAATGTATTTGAATGCTCAGATTAATACACAACTACATAGTTTAGATGAAAAAGGCACTATCATGATTGCAGATTATAAAATGAGAATTTTAAAACAAACAGCATGTGAAGTCAAGTTTGAAAAATCCAGATAGACATTACATACAATATTAGTGTACACAAAAATATCTAGTTCTAATAAACTACAAGTCCAAATATTTGATCATTAGTTATCAGACATAGTTCAGAATGCGTGGTTCATGGCCTCGGCATTCGAAGCAGTTTTTAATACACTTAAGCCAAAACCCAAATGGGTAAAAATCTTATCAGATAACGGTAGACATTATCATTGTGCTAAATTAATATCAATGATTACCAATTAGAACTCTTGGTATGGCATAGAAGTACGTAGTTGAACTTTTTTGAAGGCAGAGGAGGCGAAAACTACTGTTGACTCACACTATGCTTAAGTAAGTTATAAAAAAAATTCTATAATTTAATATTGTAATATTTATTACAAATATTTTATTTAAGATTGCCCATGCTATAAAATGGTATGTTCGATTGGGCTATAGTATAAATAAAGGTGAAGATATCGAAAAGGCAATAAAAAATATTCGAGGAACAACTGTAGCAAATATTAAACTAGATCGAAAAAATATTAATAAGAATAAACCTAAACTTCCTAAGATCTCTAATTGGTATCAGTTTAAATATTTAGTAGAAGCAAGTTTTATATGTGCTCGACCTTTTCCAAATTTTGGTGAATGGAAAAATATATCTCTGACAAAAATCTGTAAATCAATGAAAGAAAAAAACCTGAATCAACCAAATCCTGAAGTTTCTACTTATACAAATCCTAATTTCCAATGGGTAATACCAACACCATTATCAGGTAAGTTACTATATTCTACTATGAATAAGTAATCAAAATTATTAGGATCTAATAATTATATTCAGAAATTTTAATCAAAACAAATTGAAAAATACCAAAATTTTCTGAATACAATTACTAGATTCTAATAATTTAGGCTGCAAAATTTTATAAAAAATTGCTTATTTATAGTATATAATTATAAAATCATAAATTTTATAATTCATTATTACTTTTATTTTTAGGTCCTGATTCTAGCCGACTAACAAAAGATGCGATCAAAAAAGAATTGAACAAAAGAGACATAGAATATAATAAAGAACAGGATAAGTCAGAGCTAGTCATTATGTTAAAGACGAATATACAATCCAAAATCTCAGATATAATTGAAGGTACTATATTAATATATTTATAAACTTATATCTGTTTTAATATTATTTTCATACCATAGAAACACGGCAAGTAGCCAGCACAAATAATTTCATAGAAGAAAAGACAATTACGAGTTCTAAAATGCAAGAGAATAAAAAAAAACAAGTCTTATCTTTAGACAAAGAAAACTAACCAAAAATTAAATATTGATTAGATATTGTTAGAATTCATGAAATAATTTTCTTATTCTAAAAATTAAAGGTCTTATCTGGTCAAAAATTTTGTATTCGAATATTCATTTGTTTAATACTTTTAATATTCGAATATTCATTGAAAAATTTTGAATG